AATTGTGGGATGAATTTCAAGTTGCAATGTCTGAAGATTATATACAAAAATTTGGACAAATCACTGGAATAAGACAAGCTTATGTTCAAATCGATCGATTACTTCGCAAAGAAGATTGGGAACTTTCACAATTTCCAGAAATGGAACAAATAACGACAGAATATGAGGAAGAAGATATGAAACAATTGCAAAGAGAAGCTTTACTAGGTCAGCAACAGTACAGTCAGTTAAATTATAAGCAAAAAAGTACTGTTGACTATGTTTTAACTCTTTTGGAAAAAGACGATAGTCGATCGATAAAATGTTTATATATTGATGGCCCAGGAGGTTCAGGGAAAACTTTCATTTACAGGACATTATATTATTTACTCAAAACTCAAGGCAAAGTTGTTAGTACAATAGCTTTTACTGGTATTGCTGCAACGTTACTGCCAAATGGTAAAACAGTACATAAAACTTTAGATTTGCCTGTACCTCTTTTTGCTGACACAACATCAAATATAAAAATTCAATCAAAAGAAGCTGATTGTTTGAAAAAAACAAACGTTTTTATTTGAGACAAAGCACCAATGGCACCGTGATATGCTCTTGAAATGATGGATCGCCTCTTGCAAGATTTAATGCAAAATAATATACCTGTTCGCGAACGCGCTGCGTAAGAGAGGATCGCGCGATACAACAGGATAAGTCACCCTTTCTTTTGTATCAAAAAAAGTTTAATTTCAATACACACTTAATTACAAATACTTGAACAAGACTTATTATAACAGTTAATTATTTCAGTGAAAATGTAATCGAGAACAAAGTGCGGAATAAGCGGCGGTCGTCAACGAGATTTTTGCGAATCAAATAATATGCGGTTTGCGTTATGCGGTCACTGCGGAAAGCGATAAGGCGCGAATTTCGGGTGCGAGCTCTCTTTTATGGGTTTCCGAAGAAAACCCACTTTTTCGGGAAGCGTCAATTATGGTGAGCAATTTAAATTGTGCTCAAAGTGACTCGAGGGTACAGCTCATTATTGGCCGCTTCGCTAAGATGCGCAACGAATTCGCGTTTTGCCATGCGCGCGCGGTCGCTCGCTATTTCTAATTGGTGATTGAGGCCGCGTGGCAATTTTGCGCATGCTTTTAACGCGACAAGTATCCGGCGAAAACGGTTGAGATACCGCTAATTGTTTGTATGAAAAGAATGTTTTGTGATGACGGGTTTAATTTATGACAGTTATTTACCGGGACAAACATACAAAAAAGACCGTGACTTTTATTATTGACGTTGATCGAAAGTTCTAGAATTTACTAAAATTTTACTTAGCATCTCAAACAATACCATTCTGTGGTAAGATTGTTATTCTTGGTGGGGATTTCAGACAATTATTGCCAGTAAAACAAAATACTACACGTTCTGAAACTGTAAATTTATCAATAAAATTATCACAATATAGCAACATTTCAAAATCTTTCCATTGACAGAAAATATGCGTACGTTACCATATGAACATGAATTTGCTAACTTTTTATTAGATTTGGGTAATGGTACCTTAAATGATCAGTCTAATAATGTTCAAGTTCCATTGAGATATATAGCAGATTTAAATGCGAATACAGTAAAAGATACATAGAAAGAAATAATTAAACACAATCTATATAAACTTGCAGCAAAACGTGCTATACTTTCTGCACAAAATGTTGATGTAAACGAAATAAACAAAGAAATTGTAAATTTACTTGATGAATCAACAGAAAAAATATATGCAAATATAGATACCACTGAAACTACTAACGATAATCATGATAATAATGAAGTTATTTTACCAGAGTATTTGAATACTTTAAATCCACCGAGTCTTTTACCTCATGAACTTCGATTAAGAAAATACACTGTTATTATGCTAATTAGAAATCTAAACATCAGTGAAGGCTTATGTAATGAAACAAGGTTGTTAATCTTAGAATTAGGAAATAATTTGTTAAAATGTAAAATTCTGACTGGTGATAAAAAAGGAGAGATAGTCTTTTTACATCGCATTTTATATTGTAAAAATATTTATCCATTTGTATTTAAAAGAAGACAATTCCCGGTTAAAATAGTTTTCACTATGACAATAAATAAATCACAAGAACAAACATTTAACAAAATTGCAATTAATTTAAGAAAAGATATTTTCAGTTATGGACAACTTTATGTTGCATTTTCGCGAGTTAGATCCTGGGAATCATTAAAAATTTACTTAGGAAAAGAAAGACAAAATGAATTAATTAAAAATCATGTATATACAGAAATCTTTCAATAAAAATGATTTACATGTGTTAAATTTACAATGAAAATAGTAATTGCTCTAATAAATTTTATATTAATTGTAAATATATTTAAAATAATTACAAAAAAACTTTTGAAATTTATTTTTTTTTATATTTGTTTGATAATGTGATGAAGAATGCTTTATGGGAATAAATAATTCAACATTCCTATATACATACATATAATTATTCTGAGGATACATTATCTCCAATAATGTCATTCATTATGTACAATAAAAAAATTGTTACATATTAATAAGAAACAAGTTCAAATGTTAAAACTGTTATCTATACATATATAAGTATTGTACGTTATACATGCTCTTAAAATAAGAGTATTAATTTAATTTAAAAAAAAACACTAAATTAATCTAGAATGTAATATAATAGTAATAACAGTTATGTAGTATAATATTGAAAAAATATTTGTTCATGTTAATGCTGTAATAAACAGACAATAATATATAAGATATGCTTAAGTTGGTCGCTAATCGCGATTGCATTGTTATCGTATTATTCTGAATGTAATTGATCATCTCGAACGTATATGAAGATTGTGTGCGTTTAGATATTAAGTGTTAAGGTATATTCACACCACGGTCGTACATACAGGTCTGGAAACTCTAGTAGAGGGGGGTGCATCGCTTAATGACAACGGCCGCTAAGAGCGCAACATGTAAAAATGTTTTTGCATTTGTTTTTGCATGATCGCAGTTCATGGTAGTAATTATATGGTAGTGGTTCATTTTAAATATTAAAAAAATAATATTTAAATAATTGATAAAATATTAAAATAATAATATAAGATATTTATTTATTTCTGTAGGGGAGTTAGGGGTTTTTGAAATTAAATCTCAAGTATGAGATTATTTCAAATTTTAAGTCTTGGTAGTACACCGAGAATAATACGTACCTTGTGCACGGTTTATTTCCAACGAAAACTTAGTTTCGTTGGAAATGTACCATCCGCGTATGGCTCTTTACGCCTTTCTTACGATTTAGATTTATATTTAATATATTACAGAGCCGTAATTTAATCTTAATTAATAATATAAGAACTAATGTAGGGTATTTGTCGTTCAAGATAGGCCGTAATATTGGAATGCTTGTGCTCTGTGTATTATATGTATTTAATTCGTCTTATCGCGGCGACGGCTGAGGATCGACTGACTGGCTTGCCCGTGTCTTTCCATCGCCTGTTTACATTTTTGAATTATTTTGAAACTCGCTCGCTTTGTCCTTACAGTTCGGCCATTCTGACTATTAGGCCGTCCGCGGCTAACGCAACAGTACAAAAACCGACATATATTACAAGGATAAAATAAAATCAAAATAACCGTATAAATATACAAAATAATTTCCTAGTTGTTGCGTAACCAAGGTCGTATATTACACGCCTCCCATACCCCGCGATATGGTCGTTGATTATTCTGAAATCCGCTAATATCCGTAATTAAATAACGATTGTTGCGAAACACACGTTCAACGCGATAAGGGCCTTTAAAAGTGGGTATTAATTTTTTCGACGCTCCCGTGCTACTGTCAAAGTTTCTTATCATAACTAAATCGTCAATCTTATAGTTCGGTGCAACTTTTCGTCTTTTATCACCGTGAGCTTTGTTATACATCTGAGACTTGCGAGTTTTATCGGCGGCGTCATTTCTTATTTTAGCAATATCTATCCGTTCGGTATCGTCAGCACAGTGTAAATATTCCTTAAGATTATTGATAGATTTTCCACGCTGGTCAACGCCAAACAACAGCTGACTTGGAGTATACCCAGTGGTTTTGCTAACAGAATTGTTCAACGCATACTCTATTTCGGACAAAGTTTTATACCAGAATTTTCCGGCCGCATCGTTAGACAATTTTCCTAACATCGGAATCAATACTCGATTAACGCGTTCCACTTGTCCATTGACTTGTGGCGAACCTGTAGCTACCTTAACATGCTTTATATTATTTTCTCGTAAAAATATTAAAAATTCGTTCGAAGTAAAACACGTTCCTCGATCTGTCACTACTACTAAAGGGCGGCTATAATTTTGGAAATATTGTTTTAAACTATTATATAGCTTCCTTGCTAGCAGTCGTTTTAACAGCGTACAATTTTACAAATTTCGTGAAGGAGTCGACGACAACTAGAATATGTCGCTTTACGGAATGTTTGTCTATCGGTCCCAAATGATCGACATGCAAAGTAGCGAATGGAATATTACCCTTAGGAATCATATTCAAAAATCCCTCAGTCTTTCCGGTCTTGGGCATATAAGCAATACATTTTAAACAGTTCTTAATATGATTCTCGACCTTTTCTCGCAATTTTGGAAACCAATAGTTCTGCAAAACAGCTTAACTAGTTTTCTCTACTCCAAGATGCCCCATTTCATCATGATATTTAAAAATTACATTTTTTTCCATAATTTCTAGAACATAAAATAATAGAAATGGAAGAGCAGTCGCCCAGCAAGCGGAAGGTCTCGGGTTCGATTCCCGATTCAACCGACTTTCGGACCAATATTTTTCTCGTCTATTTCTTTACACGGGATGTTAAGAGAAGGAACAAGGGAAATTTCTGAGATCCTAACCATAGGATTCAAATTCCTTAGTTTCCAAATTTTCTTATCTTAATTTGTCGCAATAACATCGCGTTTGGCTCTTTAGTCGAGAGGAATGAAGTGTAGATTGTGGTTTAAAAATTGAAGTTGACTTAAAAATATTCTTATTATAAAATAATAGCTTATCATCTTTTTTTCTATACACTAGTCCATTACGCAATTTGAAGAATTTACTTTCGGACTGTTCCAATTAATTTCTCGCGTCTACAATTTTCGCGTCCCGTCCCTGACTAAGCGTAAGATTCCATTCGAAAGAATTATCTTCCACAATTCCCACCGTTCGGCTAAGCGCGTCGACATGTTTCATACGCGTTCCGGACCTATGCTCTAATTCATAGTCGTAATTTAGCAATTCTAATGCCCATCTAGCAATTCTAGGATTGATATTCTTTTTCTTTAGAGTCATAACGAGGGAATTACAGTCGGTAACAATTTTAAATTTAACATTTTGCGATTTAGATTCGAAAGCGTTTTAGTGCATAAATTATTGCAAGAGTCTAATTCGTAACTATGATATTTGGATTCCGTCTCGGTCGTTCGCTTCGAAAAATAGAATACCGGGTAAAACTTGCGATCCAATTTTCGCTGCATTAGAACCGCACCGTAACCCACAGAGCTCGCGTCACAATGCAATTCGGTTTCGTCTTTCGGATTATAAATGGCTAATATCGGTGCTGTACTAAGCTTATTCTTTAACATTTCAAAAACTTTGAGTTCGGCCTCACCAAATTTAAACGCAGCACTTTCTTTTATCAGATCATACAACGGCTTCAAAATTACCGAATAGTCTGGAATGAACTTTCTAAAATATGAACACAATCCAAGAAAACGCTGTAACTCGCGCTTAGTTTTAGGTACTGAAAAGAAAGTAACACTATTGATTCCGTTTGTTGTAGGCTTAATGCCGTCTTTGCTAACTAAATAGCCGAGATATCCAATTTCGGTGTATAAGAATTTACATTTATCGAACCTTATTTCCAAGACGTTGTCGACCATTGCTTTAAACAAATGCTCTAGTACTTACAAATAATGATCTAATGTGGCGGTGGCAACGAGTACATCGTCCATATAAACTACAATATCTCCTGCTCTAATGAAAGCAGCTAGCGTATTATTTATAAATCGCTGAAAAGTAGATAGTGCCGTCTTCAGACCGAATGGCATTTTTAACCATTCAAATTGACCTAACGGTGTAACAAACAACGTGTACTTAACAGAATCCGCCGATACGCTAACATGATAGAATCCATCTTTCAAATCTATTAAACTAAAATATTTTTTGCCATTTAGAACTTCTAACTGATCTTCGATCACTGGAAGTGGATAATTATCACGTGCCAATGCTTTATTTAAGATTCTGAAATCCACGTATCATCCGTACTTCCTCGTTTTTCTTTCTCGTTAAAACTATCGGCGACGCATATTCGGAATTACTCGGCCTAATATAATTTTTCTCAAGTAAGCGATCGAAAATGCATTGCAATTGATCTCTCTCGCTATACGATATTCTACGCGGTGTACAATGAAACGGTTGAAAATCTTTAAGTGTCAATTTTAATTCTGCTTGGACTTTAGGTTCTTTTGGTCGCTGTGGTTTGACATAATTCTCGATAAACAATCGCTTAAATTTATTTTGAACATCGTATGATGTCTCCGCATTTATATCTAAACAATCAACAGGATTGTCATGCGCCTCCGAAAAATTAATATTCATAATTTCCTGCGTCGTGTCCGCTACTTCCGTCTTTGCTAAAACTAACTCAAATCTGCGCAACACATCGCGACCTAAAACAGCTGACGTAATCATAGTATTTTCGGGTACAATTAAAACCGTCACATCCTCTGCACAATCATTGCCTAACGTTATACGGGCCGTAATTTTTCCCACAATGGTCAACTTGGAATTATTAATCCCACAATATCTATGATCGAATTCGTTAATCGGATCAATATTCGCATTACCAATAAATCTCTCTTTAACAAAACTAACCGGACTCCCTGTATCTAACAACGTATCTAAACATAACATCTGTCGAAAATTCGATCCTTTTATTTCAAACATAACGTTTCGTCTAAAGTTTGTTTCCGCTGCCGGATTATCGTAAATATTAGTGATCTGCTGTTTGTTTTTTTTTTTCGGACAGTCGTTATAAACATGTCCTTTCTCGCCACACTCATAACACAATCCTCTCTCACGTTTCGGTCGTATACATTCTCGCGATATATACCCTACTCTATTACAATTATAGCATTTGATGTCCGTCGCTCGTTGTTCGTCCGGCTGCTTCGCCACTCTCAACGAAAATTTATTAAAATGCTTCCCCGCTGATTTCGATTTGTCTCCTGCACCAAGCTTGATACGATCCCTCGCTTCCGGCTGTATGGTGACTCTCCTAAAAACTTCCAGCAACGCTCCGGCCGAATCGTAATGGTGAATGCGCGCCTGATTCCGCAACGAGACGTCTCCTATGCCGTCAATTAAATATTCTATTAGATCGTTATCATCTATCGGTACCCGATTAGCCAAAATAAGTTTCTCATGATAATAATCAGCAAAGGTCTCACCCGGGCCCCAAGTCCTGGCTTCGAATTTTCTTTGACGCTCCACCCTACTAAGCCGACAGTCAAAAGCAGTCCTCACCTGCTCCAATAATTCGTCCAGAGTCATTTCGAGATTCCGTAATCGTGAGTGAAACCATTGGGCTGCTCGGCCTTTTAACCTTGAACTAATCAATATCTTAGCCGAGTTGTCATCAAACTCATATGTTTGGCATAATAATCAAACTTGTTTTTCCCATTCGCCAAAATCGCGATCCGTTCCGTTAAATTTGCTTAGAAGGTCACTTACCGCTCTTATGTTTACAGGCGGCCTACCGTTATTTGAATTATTGCTGGCTACCGACCGTTGGGAGCTCCTCAACATTTCTATCTCCCGACGAGCAATTTCGAGTTCTCTCTCCATTAGGGCCTTTTCTCTCCGCATTAATTCCAATTCGCGCAAAAGGAGTTCATCCTGATTGTATGCATGCATCGGCTCGTAACGCGGATATGTTCTCGACATTGCGCCCGTCCTGTTTGGCTCACCCCGCTCAGACTGATCCAGAAAATCCTGCAGCACGTCCTCTTCCCCAGAAGGAATCGTTTCCTCGTCTCGTGGCTGCTCTACACGCGGCTCGTCCGCCTCCGACATCCAGTCACCTGAAGGATTCGCCGCTGATATCCTTGCAATCAATTCTGCTTTCGTGCCCGCAATGGACATCTGATGGTTTTTGAGAATCGTTCCCAATTGCATATTCGTTAGTTTATTTCCGTCCATAATTGATACCTCCGATTCGTTTCTTTTAAAATGATTGACAGCTCTTCCGTAATATGCTCAGATTATTTCTCGATCCTCGATCTCCGTCCGAAATTTCAAAAGTTTATGCGTCACGCAACACCTGCAACTAACACTCCGTGCAGCGCGTGCGACTAACAATGTTCAACGTAAATCACAAATCGTAAAATCTTTGCCGCGAGTCGCGAATTCACAATCCCAATTCTGAAATTACGGTAGGATATTTGTCGTTCAGGATAGGCCGTAATATTGGAATGCTTGTGCTCTGTGTATTATATGTATTTAATTCGTCTTATCGCGGCGACGGCTGAGAATCGACTGACTGGCTTGCCCGTGTCTTTCCATCCCCTGTTTACATTTTTAAATTATTTTGAAACTCGCTCGCTTTGTCCTTACTCTAATAACAATAACAACAAAAACAATAACAATAATAATATATTTAAATAATAATTTATTTTTTATTAAATATTTAATTAAATATTAATTTTATAAAAAAAAATTTATTTATAAAAATAATCATGACACAACCGTGTATAATACCAAAGTGTAAAACAGGATTTAAAAGTGTATTAGTAAAAAGATCTGTTTTTAAAGTGCCTAAAGATGAAATTACGCAAAAAAATAAAAAGCCATTATTAAAATTATATATTATTAATCATATTAATTATAATATTAATTATATTTATTATTAATCATTAATTATATTGCTGCGCCCTTGGATCTGCATCCTCATCCTCTAACAAACGTTTCCGGGAGATCGTCGTCAAGAGAGTTGTTGATAAACAATCTCCCACTTACTTTTGTTTATCGACGCCATCTGTCAGTCTTGGTCTAGCTGTCAAGTCCGATTGACGTTACAAGACCGCAGACACGATTTTCATTAATTATTACAAAATACAATTTATCTTCTTTGTATTTTCCCTGAATCGACCCATTAAAAACTTAATTTGTGTTCAAACGAGTCTTCATTTCATTTCGCACGCGAGTGATTGTGTGTGTGTGCGTGTGTGTGCGTGCGTGTGCGTGCGTGCGTGTGTGCGTGTGCGCGTGTGCGTGTGTGCGTGTGTGTGTGTGTGACCGCACGAGAGGCGTCCGGGAGGCGCAACATTTTGGGGGCTCGTCCGGGATAGTCCACGACATTCCAAGGGACCAACGAGAAATAGCTGCGACATAATGGCAACGAGTCATTCTCCGAGAGCGATCTCGAGCGGGACGTTCTCCTGTCAACGAGACTTCCTCCGAGTCGGAAATGTTCCAAGCTGCGTTGCGAGAACTGCGGGAAATGCGTGCTGAGCGAGAGCAACAACAAGCTCACTTCGAAGCTCTTCGAGAGAAGGACGACCAATTGCGATAACTTGAACAGCGGATGTCACAGCAAAATCAGCTAAGTCCTTCTAATAATAGAACTTCCGGGGACACACAAAATATTCGGGGAGCTTGTGCGATAGCTGCGATTAAATCGACCAACGATTTTCGCGCGAAAACGGGCTTTAAATTGAAGCCCGATACGTACGACGGAAAAGTTCCGCTGCGGGAATTCCTCTCCCAATTTCTTTTGATCGCGATGACAAATAATTGGGACGATAAGATGAAAACGATAACTCTTGCCGCGAATTTAAGGGAAAAAGCGAACTGTTTTAAAAAATATTGAGAATTTTGGAGATCTAACTTTTGTGGAATTAAAATCAAAAATATATATATATATATATATATATATATATATATATATAGAGTTTCTTTTTGGGGACGGAAATTTAACACAAAATTATTCTTTTTTCACTAATAAAAAACAGAAATTTGGGGAAGATTTCGCTTCGTTTGGGACCGAACTTGAGAGATTATCACGACTTGCGTATCCGGAATGTTCTTTCTTGGATCGTGATAAATATGCTTGCGCTCCATTTATTTCCAGTTTGACAGACGGGTTTGTGAAGAGAACCCTTCAACTAGAAGGGATAACCTCTTTAAATCTAGCAATTGAAAAGGCAATAACTGTCAAAATCATTTAAGGGAAAATTTTGAAAGAAAGGAGAATTTTGGTAACAATAGAAGATTCAAAAATTTCGAAAAGCAAAATTTTCAAAAAGCGGAGAGGAATGATGCGCGAACTAACTCCGTAAAAAGGAAACGCGAAAATTCAAAAGACTTGAGAGAAAAAGCGTAGACAAATAATTTTTCCTCTAAGAAATGTTGATCGTGCGGAAAGACCGGACATCCTCGTTTTCAATGCCCTGATGGAAAGGGAAACTAGAATTAGTTGAACTTTTCGGGGAAGTTCAACTTTCATTGATAGTACCCCGATTTTTGATTTTGTAGAGTGTAGTGTTAGGAGAATTTTTCAAAAAGATTTCTCATATTTTGGGAAACTGAATGGAAAAGATTACCAAATTAGAAATATGTTGGGGAGACTCTCGGACGTCTAGATTCGCGCGCCTTATCGTCTCCGTGAGTGACGCGTGGCGCGCCGGAAGTAGAGGCGCTACGAGAGGCCGTTGGTGCCGAGGATGAACGCTTGAAGCGCTGGCTTCTTCCTTCGTCCCGCCAAGTCGAGTCGGCCATTGGTCCTGATCCTCTCTTCAGAGAAACACGTCATAAAAGAATTCTGTTCGAATCATTGAGTCTATTCTTAATCTGGATGTCTACTATTGGACAAACCCGAGTTTGGGCGTCCTGGAGTCCCTTCAACAAACCCTGTGACGGGAAGTATACATTTTGTGTGGTGGAAAGATTCCATAAATACCGCCAAATGTTAAAAGACAAAGAAGTGGGTAATTGTATCTCAAAGGATTCCATCAAGGTAATAAATATTATAAAGACTGGCCTCGCCAGGATTCACACAAGAGTGGGCTTTGCCCTGTGTACATAGCTTGACTTTTTCTAGCTATTCTTACAAAGACTGGCCTCGCCAGGATTCACTCAAGAGTGAGCTTCGCCCTGTGTACATAGCTTGACTTTGTCTAGCTATTCTTACAAAGACTGGCCTCGCCAGGATTCACACAAGAGTGGACTTTGCCCTGTGTACATAGCTTGACTTTTTCTAGCTATTCTTACAAAGACTGGCCTCGCCAGGATTCACATAAGAGTGGGCTTTGCCCTGTGTACATAACTTGACTTTGTTTAGTTATTATTATAAAAACTGGCTTCGCCAGAATTCTTAAGACTTTATTTAGTCAAGTGATGTTTATGAGATATTCAAGATATTTATATTTGAATGACTGTATTGAGTTTATATGTTGATACGATGCTATGTTTGATTTACTTTCTTGAATTTATATGTTGATACAATGCTATGTTTGAGTTACTTTACTGAGTTTATACGTTGATACGATGCTATGTTTGAGTTACTTTACTGAGTTTATATGTTGATACGATGCTCTGTTTGATTTTCTTTATTGAGTCTAGATGTTTATACAATACTCAAGATTTGATTTGCTGTACTGAGCTTTTATGATTCTAAGATGCTTAAGATATTTATGTTTTATTGCCTTTAATGAGTTTCTATATACCATTAAGATATTCTGTGTTACACATTTGACGGTGATTTATGATTTATATATTATATTCATAACATTTATTGAGCGTTACTGTATGTATATATATATATATATATATATATATATATATGTGTGTGTGTGTGTGTGTATTTTATTATGGACTGAGAATCTATTATATCATTTTTCTGAAACTTGAGTTATTTTAAAGATTGCGAAGTCAATTGATTGCATAATTATATTGAGTTATTTTTTTTTTCTACTTTATATGGGCTGATATGATTTAATAAGTCTATTGAGTGATTTCTTTCTATTCTTTATATTATATAAACATTAACTACCTCCGCATATGATATTTAATGATTTGTGATACTTAATATTGGTCAATCTTATTATGAGTTTCATTATTCTTTGAAAATTTATCTATATGTGCATATTTGTTTATGATGATGTAAGTAAACTGTGATTTTTCTTCCAATTAATTTTTTTGTTAATTTTCTTGTATTAACAGTCCACTAATCCCCCTATTATATCCGGAACAAAATAACATAAAATTGCATATTAGTAATCAGAGTGTCGTTAGCAAACATAGGAGCGATTATTTACACGATTTTAACTGAACATCCTTGGATATTCTACATCATAAAAAACATACTAAGAAAAGAGAAATAGCAGAAATGTTTTATATTAAAAAATTCGACAACACAATTAACCTTCAAAAAGACACGGACAATCTGAATTCTATTTATGATAGAATGATAAAGGCTGTCTAGTTCAGTTGGCGTTTTACCATCTTGTCGTAAGGTCGTATTGACACAATTAATTTATATGTGCTTTAATGTAGTTTAAATGTTATTTTA